TTGCTGCCGAGAAAACAGACGATCGCGTAGCACACATCCATAGTGGTCTGCTTTTGTCGACAGCTGAGTGAACACTGGATTGTGTCCCTGTTTATAATTAGATAATATTCGAATTTCTTTTTACAAAAGCTTATTGGATTAATCTTTTAAATTTGTCGAACCTCTTAACTAGTACGCAGAACAGTCAGGTTCAATTAATCATTTTCATATGAATATGAACTGCCATCTGCCTCATAATTCACTGCCTTGTGAGCAGCGTTGCCAGGTCATTTTCAGAAAAATCTGAACCAGTTAAAATAAAAATCTGTAAAAATCTGGAATGCTTCAAAAAAATTCTGTTTTTAACATAATGCTATTGAAATCAAAGTGATGTGCCAATCTCTCTTAAAAATCGGTCAGTATGATGATTTGGTATTTATTTGAAGTACCAGAATGGTTATGAATTACATGTTAAAATGATTTATATAAAGCAAATTACTTGTGAGCATTGCTAAATCTTCCAAAAGTAGAAAAATATTGACACAGTGTACCCAAAAAGTTTAAATATCCATTACGCAGCAGTTCAAAATTTGAATTAAATGTTGGTAAAATACTGCAGAAAATATGTTTAGAATTGTTTTTTGAACTGTAACTTTTTAAAAAGAATGAAAAGCTAAGAATTAAGCAAATTGATGAGATGATTTTTTTACGAATTGTCGATGTAGTCCTTACTATTTGATGCAGTACCAGAATATAAAGATTTAATTAGTCCTAAATAAATCTAATATTACCCTGAGGTTGTTCAGATTTACAATTTAATTCTTGACGTCATGCAACACATAACACTCAATATACCAGTAGGCAATTTTATTTTGAAGCAAAATTCACCTGGCTGAAGTGTTGATTCCCACTTCCCACCAGCCCAACATCGTGGTACTCTCACAAAGTTTACCTAAACTACGGATAACTCTACTATTCGCATGACCATGACGAATAATTTTATTATATTACTAAAATGAAATCAGCGGCGCCGGTGGTGTAGTGGTAAGCGTGATTGCCTCTCACCCCAGCAGGCCTGGGTTCAATCCCAGTCGGCGCCGTCGGGATGTTCTGAGGCATAACATCTCTGATCACGCCTTCCTTCGGATGGGAAGTAAAGCCGTTGGTCCCCGGTTCATGAGTTGATGGGTCGATAGGTAGGGTCCAGGTGAGGGAGCTGCCTTCCTGGCGTCGGTAGCATTGGTGCTCAGCACGGAAAACAAGATCGACGGAAAACAAATCAAGGAAATACTAAAATGAAATTCTGATAGAGTAATTTTTGAAGTCTCACGATCTTGAAATGATTATAATTCCGGAATTTATATTTTTCCTGGGTTAGTCTGAATTTACTTGGAACTCTTCACAGGATATCTTCACCTTTTTTTAGTTCCATTTGAATGATCCTAGAATTCATTTTTTCTGGATTCCCCTTAAATAATCTTGATAATATCCAAAATTTTCCAGTAACATTTTAAGAGTTAAAAGTATTACTTCTTGTAATCTCTTATACATTACTCTCCAATTCTACAATTCCCTTAAACTGGTAATAATTCTCAAGAATTGGCATAATTTTGTGTCTAGTTTTCCCTATGAAATTTTTAAAATATTCTTAATAATTTCCTAAGTGCACTCTTCAAAATGACCGTCATACTCTTCTCATACCTATCCGATGATTCCCTTTGAACTGCTTTGTAGGTAAGATCAGAATTATTTTGAAATTCCCCTTCAGTATTTCCTAACTACTCAAGTACTTTGCCAAAATGCCCTTGAAAGTCTCCTATAAATTGTGCATAATTCCACTAAAATGTCTTAAAATTTTATTAGAACGAATCCCCATAGAAACATTGGACAGAGTTCCATTGAAATTATTCTAACGATTCGTATCAGCATACTACTTAAGTTCCATCATAACTATTTTCTATGATTTCTCTTCCGGATTGTTATTCATATATTCACAAAATATCCATGCAATTGCCATCAGTGTTGACAAGACAATTGACACCGTCTTCAACCAGAGGCACCACAGACTGAATATTTAACACTAGACAAGGGACAACAAACCACACCAGTAGACAAGTAGGGAAATTTTCAGGTTGCTATAATTTGCACCGGCTGGAGCGAGAATCGAACCCTAACTTTGTGGCACTCACAATACGCCTAAACGACAGGTGACGCCGCACGACCATGAAGCCCAAAAAGATGGATGGAACTCTGCTCAGAATTAGCTTGAAGTTCTCTTTTTGATTTCACAAGGAATTCGCCTCACACTTTACTACGAACTATTTAAAAAATTACCTTAAAATTCCAATCATGTCCAACGTTGATGGCCTTTAATAATAAAAGTGGCAAGTTTGAATTTTTATTTTTTTTATTAGAGGGTAAATCAATTGCAGTGATATTTTTAAAGCAACATGTTTAGAAAAAACTGGGACAATCTGGAACATATTTACACGGAGAACAAATTATAGCAGACGCAATTATTTTTCCTGTCAAAATAACTATATTGTTCAATTGTTTTAGAGATAACCCGAAACTATAGTTGATTTGACTATACATATATAGAGGGCAATAACTATAGACCATAGTTGGCTCCTCGGTTTGCTCAACTATATTTTTCAGTAGATGAACAAACGTCAAACTTCAAAATACAACTATACTTTAGTTGATTCAATAAAACTATTGTTAGGCAAGGTTGCAAAGACTCACTTCAGCTAAAGCAATGTTTTTCTAAATTATGAAATAATTAGATGCCATGATCATATTTTGAATTGGTAGGATACAAGAAGAGGTTGCAAAGAATGTGTTTGACATATTAAACCTGTTTATTTCACTTCATGAGAGTCACAATCAGCGATTTTTCACAAACTCACTCACTCACTCACTCACTCACTCAGCGATCAGCAAATCGCTGATTGTGACTCATAGAAAGCAAAATTTACAGGTTTTATGTTTCCAACGCATACTTTGTAACCTCTTCTTGTAAGTTACAAGTAAAACATGCCATCAAACTATCTTTTGGTTTTATTATTCCGAAAAACATTATTTTAGCTGAAATGAGTCTGTGCAACCTTGTTGTTAGGATAGGAAAATTTTACAATGTTTATTAAACGAACTGCTCTTCATTATCGACATATTAAGGAAGCTTGTTTTGCTTCTTTATCGATCTCAAACACACAACTGCAAAATCATAAAAAAAAAGTGGACAAGAACATTCAACTTAGATTTCAACCGTGTTCATCTGCGTGAGAGCCAGCTATCTTATCGCCTGCTCTACGCATCACAAGTTAACAGTATGTGGATTTATGATGATCAGTTGAAACCAAATTATATAAATAAATTACATTTGACGGTTGGTATAATTGATCAAAGATATAGTTGAATTGAGTATAAGATGAACAGTTGAATCTATTAGGTAGATATGATTGAGTTGACGGTCAAATTAATGTTGGAGTAACTATAGGTTTCTTTCAACAACAATATTTTTCCATGTTAAAGTAGCTATTACGATTGTTTTCTAAACTTGACGAATTTGTTCTCCGTGTACAAAATCTGGAAATATACGTGGTCTATCTGTGTATCTGGCAAGACGACTAAAAATCTGGAAAATCCAGATAAATCTGGAATACTGGCAACGCTGCTTGTGAGAGTCTGAATTATTGAGAGGTAAACGAGTCACTGACAGCCGAGCACTCAGTCAGTAGCTCAGTCACCACGTGTATTCTTCGGTACCCAATCCTTGTTTTGAATGACTGAGCGTGCATGGAAAAATGCCTCAATTACATGCTGTGTGAGCGAAGGCAAGCGGTGTGAGTCGCCTGTTCGTGAGTGACTGAATGTTTTTGTTGGCTCTTTCATTCACCCCTATTCTGTATTTCGTTTCAAACGAAATTCTCATACAAAAAAAAAATATTTTTTTGTATGAGAATTTCGTTCGAAACGAAATACAGAATAGGGGTGATTGACTCGTCTTTCACTGTTTGGTACAAACGGTCTGGACAGAGCAATGGATTGCCTAAGGTAGCCTAAGGGAATCAAATGATTTTTTGACTGGACGAGGGTTCGTAGATTTGCCAGCCCCTTGTCACGTGATGGTCATCTGGTCGTTTTGTCTTCCAAAGGTCTTCAAGAAAGCTGATTCACCCTGCTGCAACTAACCATCAGACAGAACTTTACAACCGGTAAAGTATCTGCAGACATTGGTAATCCTTACACTGATTGTGTGTTCCATTGACATCACAACACATCACACATCACCAACGGAGCGCAACTTAGCATATCAAAATTGTAAAAAGAACGTGAAATATCGTCAAAAGGTGGTCAAAATAGGAACATGGCCAATACTGGTGCGTTTGCGTGATTTGCGATTGTGCGATCAAAGTGAATTCATTTTCTTTCTCCAAGGGGTGCGTCAATTCCGAAAATTCCGTACCGATTTTAGATAGAGTAGAGCACTATTTCGTCGTAATCACCCATTTCCGTTCTATTGATCAGAAAAGGTCAATAATTTTAAATAATTTCACCATGAACAAATCAATACATGGTTTGTTCCGATGCGTTAGTTCATTATCTACAACATAAATCCTATTAGAACGCATTGTATGAACATTTACACTCATTGTTCTCAAAACAAAAGAAGCGCTCCTAGCGAATTCCCTTTTTCTACGTTTATCCTAAGGACGAAGAAAATCTGATGGCGTTTTAATGCTTTAGGACGGAATTGAAACTCGTAGAACGAATTTAGAATCAAGAAGTAGTATTAGATTTTAAACAATATCTCAGCAATTTGTGGCTCTTTATCAAATCGAACGGTACGTATGGAAAGGTGATTAAATTTATAAGCCATCTTTGACAGAAATATTCCATTATTAGTTGAAACCCGTTCAAAAAAGAGAGGTTAAGCGGGGGTTGTACTTAGTAGGACGGAAATTGGATAAAAAATCCTAAAGGTTTTTTTGGTTAATCATTTCTCTCTTTCTTTATAGACCGTAACTCACCTGAAACTATTTTTCCACGTCGTATGCGCCGTCGTCGTAGGGTTGATGTTTGGTGATTCAGGTGTCAATGGTACGAAAAGCGTTTCCAATATCGCATCCTTTTTGGTGCACATACTCTACCTCTGGTACACGACGCTGATGCCCGGAGTGCTGAAATGTAAGCAATATAGAATTGATTAATTTTACTCAGATAATAATCGATATTGCATTGTCACGCTGTTCCCACAGTTCCGTCGGAGATCAAGATTCTGAAGAAGGAATCGTTCAACAATTGGTACAAAATTCGGACATATTTCGTCGCAACGATGTTAACTTCACTACCGGTTCAGGTAAAATCCGATGAGATCTGGCTAATTGGTTATTAAATAATGCTCAAGATACGAATCGACCATTGTAGATTTTCTTCTCGATAGTATACAGTACGATAGTGTTCAGCCTAACTTCGCAGCCACTCGAGTGCGATCGGTACATGATGTTCCTAGCGGCACTGATACTGACCACTATCGTTGCCGATGGTTACGGCGTATTCCTGGGAACGTTCCTTAATCAAATTGTAAGCAGCATAATGTGGTGCAAGTGCAACCAACCCAATCATTCACCTACCAACCACCCACCCAACCAACCAACCAGTTGCTTAAATATTTTAACGTGTTTGTGTATGTTCTCATATCTATTTTGCCCACAGAATGGTACCTTCATTGGGGCTATCACGACTTGCTACATGCTGGTGTTTTGCGGTTTTCTCATTATGTTTAATCACATGTCCGAACTGATGAAGGCATTTAGCTATCTGTCAACCTTGAGGTACAGCCTGGAAGCGTTGGTTCTCGCCATATACGATAACGGCCGGACCAACATGGTATGTCCGGAGGAAGAGCTGTACTGTCACTACGTGTGAGTATTTTACTGCTTCGGTTAGGATGAAGACAGTTACTAACTGGAATTATTTTCATCATCCAACAGGAAGGCGTCGACAGTTTTAAAAGATCTCGGTATGACACCCCAGAACTATATCTTCAATGTCGTTATGCTGGTCGTGCAGTTTATTGCTATCAAAGTAGTAGGATTCTGGTCGTTGCAGAGAAAGCTGCGAGGTGGTTGATTGCACCGTACCGTTGAATGCTAAAATCTTGCCAATCACATTAGATAAGAGACATTTTTTGTACAGTTTTCTACGTATTTTTATGCTGCAGCAAGGAGGTTTTGGCCAGCGAAAATGCAGAAATAGCAAACGGCACAAACTGTAAGGTATTTCAGTGAACATTAACACTTAGAGAATAAGCATATTTGGACGCAGTTGGCAGTACATTCCAATAAAAATGAAACAGTACAAGGAACACCGTTGTGACAAAATGAAAACAAGTGCACTTACTTATTTTTAGTAAATTATGAATAGCTTTAAACTGAGAATGTGATAACTGAAGTTGAATGTACTTTACAAGCATTGAGATAGAAATATACACACCCATTTTTGCACATTTCTCGTTTTTCTCTTCACAGCTCCATACAAAAGGATTTCCTAAGCATGAAATATGAAACCCTCCCAGCTTAACATTTTACCATCAGTTGACAATATGCTCTCCTAAGGAAACTATGTTTTCCTGCCACGAAAAGTGACGCCCAATCTTCCCATGGATAAAGTTCTTTTTGCTCTTGGTTAAATCCGGAATCAAACTGCCACTTTGGCAAAGAATTGAGAGGCAAAGTCTCCAGATTTGCGGCACAGAAAAGAAAAGTTCAAAAAATTAATTTCACCTCTGGCTTTGCATTCATCCTTTTTTTTCATCCGATAGAGCTTCCGGCCGGTAGTTTTCCCATCACACATGTATGGTAAGAAAGACGATGATGATCCCATCTAGCTGAGCCGTACGTCAATCAGACCACCTTCGAGCGAGTCCAAGCTCTCTATAACTTATATGAAGTCAGTGGGTGCGCTTTTTAGATGGTTGCTTTTCACATGAAGTTGACGGATTGAGTCACTTTGGAGGGAATTAGACTGGGTTTGGATTGTAACAGGGAGCGCTGGTGTTTGATGGCGCATAAGCGTCCTTTTTCAATATTGTGAAGGTGGCAGAGAGGGAACTGCAACGAAGGTGCACTGATTTCTCGCAATCGGAAGCACTGTACTGAAATGGTTATTTTTTGGATCCCAAAACCTATCCTGCGATACAGTAAATCTTATGAGATCAAGATTAAGATTATTTGTGAACACGGCAAACCAATTTCTCTAACATACAATGTATGGTTGGATTTCTTTTATCCTCTTATCCAAGCTTTTCCAGAATGTATAGTTTTGTATAAATCCTTCCCAAGATGATTTTCTAGACGCATTTCATTTGGGGAAACAAACTTTGTTCAAAAATAAATTACGAAAAAAAAATCAAAATTTAGTTTCTTTTACATTTCAAATTAAATTCCAACCATGCAGACTCAACTTTCGAGAACTGAATAAAGTTTATTTTACAGTAGCCAAAGTAACGGCAGCAAGTTTCTTGGCGCCTCCTGGTGAGGAAAATTTCAACTAAACTATTCACCATACAATATGTCTTTGTCAACCGGCGCCGGTGGTGTAGTGGTAAGCGTGATTACTAGACGGATGAAAAATATGAAATTTTCGTTCCACAGTGCTCAATCGGTTCCAAATTAGGTCCTGATTAGCCTTCCAAAATTTGAACTTATTTAGTAAGAACCTGACTTGGCAGAAACCATTTGAAGTTTATATGGAAATTACTATGGGGAAACCATAATTTCGGTTCATATCTAGGGGAAATGACGGCTTCGGCATGCCAGACTATTTTCGGCAACCCAAATTGAAACACTATTTTCACTGGATTTTCTTACGAAAACACTTCGGTGAATGCATGCAAACGATTCTTTATGCTTTCAGCTTCAATTTGACTATATTTTTACCACTGAGAAAAAGCAATCTAGCAAGGTTTTCTTGAAATGAATCACACGCACTACAAATTGTAGCTGATTTCGAGTTGCCGATAATAGAACAGCAGATTTACATGCAGTTTAAATGGAACGGTTGCCGAAGAAAAACTGGTTGCCGACAATACTCGCTCTCACTAGAGAAGATTGGAGCTTTGTAAAAGCGTTTCAAAACAGTTTTTGACAATTCTTTCGACTGAAATTGTTAGAGCAGCTGGCAGCAAAAGATTGTAAACAAACCAATACTGCATATGTGTGCGTTCCTTAGAGAAAAAGGCTATAGAAAGAAGGTCGCTGCTTAGGTTGCCGAGAATACGTAAATTCCCCTATCTGAAAATTTACCAGTTCACTCTACTTCAGAAAATGATAGCTGTGCTTGTTGAAAATTTTGTCAGCTAATACTTTGTTGAGGACCACTTTTCGATCAAATGTAAGGAACAAAAAAGCAACATTGGTGTTTACGGCGCGTAGAATAGAGGACAAAAATCATGGCTACTATGTCACACTTTAGAATACAGCGTTGTCCACAATGATGTTTGGCTGAAAAACGATTTTCTGGAAAGTTGTAGCTGATAAAAATTCCCATAAGAATAGCAATAGAACTTGTTAACAGTTGTAGCCGTCACTGGTCGATCTCGGTTAAGTATGCGGCTTAAGCGCCACTCCGATAAAGGAGACCGCATGCCATGTTGAGTTTTGCCCGGATGAGACTGCCTCAGGGCGAGTCCAAGAGTAATCTTCCTAAAAAGAAGAGATCGAGCCAGCTTCACTACCACCGAAATTGAACGAGTAGAAACCCTTATTGCAAAAACAGCATAATCTCTCACACCTCGAAATATTTCCCCAAAGCTCACGGTAAGAAAGCACACAAACCTAAAACGACGTTACACGTCAAGCTTTCCTCATCGGTTGTTCCACTTATTTCCGCCAGAGGCGCAGTTGCATCAAAAGAGGTCTTTTTTTTCCCTTTGGTTTGTTTTTTCCGTTGATCTTGTTTTCCGTGCTGAGCACCAATGCTACCGACGTGCCAGCAAGGCAGCTCCCACACCTGGACCCTACCTATCGACCCATCAACTCATGAACCGGGGACCAACGGCTTTACTTCCCATCCGAAGGAAGGCGTGATCAGAGATGTTATGCCTCAGAACATCCCGGCGGCGCCGACTGGGATTGAACCCAGGCCTGCTGGGGTGAGAGGTAATCACGCTTACCACTACACCACCGGCGCCGTTAGCAAAAGAGGTACGCAGCATAAAGTCAAACTCCGACCACGCGGAAGACAACAACAGAATTACACGGACCTGAAACAACGTGAAGACACTTTCTGCCTTTCATTCTAATTTTGAATAGGACAACATTACACCGAAATCAAATCAAACATTTATTTCACAACGGAAAACGGTAAGCTGAGATTTTATTATAACTAGAGCGTGCTTTCACGAAATTTTCATTGCTTGTATTTTTCTACTCCTCTTTATTCTCTTTCTCGACCTAGTCCTATTCTTGTGTGCCGAACTACCTTCTGTCTGTGCTGTGCTCTTGTGTTTCTTCCCGACGAATCCCACGACGATGCAGCAAGTGGGAAACGGCAAAGCTTGGCACCCGGGTGTCTAACATTGATGGGTTGGGTGGGCATCCATATACGACGATACGTGCAATAGAAGACCAAGAATTGAAATGGCCTGAACTCCATTTTGTAAACAAACCTTGTAAGGCCATTTTTTCGCGAACCGAAGTCCGCAAAGGCAAACGAACATAATGAACAGGTAGGGGAAATTCTCCTGTACCCGATTGTGGTTTAGGCTTGCGAATGAAGGTTTCGGTTCGTGAGAAAATGGCCTTACAAGGTTTGCTTACAAAACGGAGCTTAGGTCATTTCAATTGTTGGTCTTGAATTATTGGACTAATCCCAATCTTAGCAATTCATGCTCTTTGACCTTATGACCGGCAAAAAAGGTCCTCCTTGGCGCCCTTGCCGGACGCCACACTCAACGAAAAAAATAGAACGGGCTCACCAATTGATTTAGCTGCTGTTGATTGCTGCACTGATGTTA